TTGGCTATTGACGTGTGCTCTCTCCCTCTTTTACTCTGTATGTGTATGTAGACTAAGCCTTAACTCAGAAATGCTCTTAATATCAACTTGGCTTGTTTTGCCAGACTCTGCTGATTTCATGGTACATTACCAATATTTTCTTCTCTGATTACTCCTCCTTTGAGGAAACCCTAATTTATTTTTATCATTTTCAGGGGTTGCTCCTTTCAAACAGAATACCCTCACTTTCCAATGTGCCTCACGGGTCCCAATAAATATGTTATAAAAATCTGCAGGATTCTCCACTAACTGTTATCTCTGACCTAAATAAGGTTTATGCCACCTAAAGCATTACAAAGCTCGAGTATTAGAATATGCTTTTTAAGAAAATGTCTTGAGAGAAGACATGCATTTGTTAAAGCTATCTATGAAAAGGGACAGAAACCAGGAATATTTTATTATGATATTTTATTATGGGTGTCTGTAAGAAAAAAAAGATCAACAACCACATACAAGTTTACAAAGTCAAATTTCAACACATTCTTCATGTTATTGTGACAAAAGCAGCCTCATAATTTGTTTTGTTTTGTTGTTGTTGACTTTTACAGAATGAAGGAAGAGAGTGCCCTGAAGAGGCATGCCAATCAACCTTTTTGAAAGGAGACATGTAGAGATATTGTGTACTTAGTTTTGAGTGCAAGTCAACAATTCTGACCTAGAGTTTTAAAAGTAAAAGTACATTAGCACCATAACATGTGTCTTTAAAGCCTTCTCAAATATTGATCATCTTAACCAGCAATGACAGGAAAAGAGAGAGCACCTTTAAAAGCATGTGACAACCAAGTTAAAATAATTGTGGCTTTCAAATATTTCTTTAAGTTCGTGCACTACCCTTTAATTTTTTTCTACTAATATTTTAGGAAATAACACAAAGAAATTGATAAGTTTTGCCAATTTATACAAATTCTTGTTCTTCTGGGACTCAGAATTCATCTGTGCTGCTGACCAGGTTGAGGTAGTTGAAACAGGGAGGTGTTTTCTAATTTCTTGCTTGACTGTTCAGAAAGAATGGTTATCTTTTAATGGTGAGCATTGTCATTGCTCAGCAGATGGGCTAGGATTCAAATAAGGTAACACAGTGTTATTGTAAGAGTGTTGAAGTTTATTTATTATAGCACCATTGAGACATTTGGAAATTAGAATTGGTAAAAAAATAGAACAAAAAGTATTTGAATTGTATTTGGTGTAACAGCAAAAAAAAAAAAAAAATTTTTTTCTCAAATTACACTTTTCCCCAAAATTTTGGAAATAAATAACTGGAAATTGGTTGGTTACTTGTACTGGTTGACAAGATTAGAACAAGAGGAACACATATGGAGTGTGAAATTTCTTGCTGGGTTTTCAGATAGAATTTAGTTTATAAAAAGCAAACAGGGCCAATGTCCGCACCGAACTCTTGATCAGGACCACCAATATCGTAGGGTGCAATGTCTACAATAGGTAGTCTCACAGCCTTGCGTGTTCGATATTCAAAGACTGTTTTGCCCCATTCCCCAGTGTGTTTCTATAAGAGAGCATAAAAAAAAAAAAAGAAAAAGTAAATGATCATCACATTAAAATTACTTAGTTCCCCTGACTTATCGCATTAGGAAAAATATATATATATTATTGCGCTAGGGTCTGTTGCCAGCTTGCCATATTTACCTTCCAAACACGTGAGGACTGTACTCAAAGCTGTAATTCTCCAACATGATAAATCATATTCTTAATTAAAATATATTGTGGCATATTGAAACCCAGAAGGATATTCACTAGACTAGTTTTGGAAGGCCTGAATTTGGTCATTACTACCAGGTATACAGTCAGTTTACTAAGAAGTGGATTATTCACTCGCAGTTGAATTTTCTAATTTAGAAGTGAGTTTTTCCATTGTTTTTAAATAACAGAGAATAGATATGGTACTATCTATTAAAATTAAAATTTAATTTTAATTAATTAATATTTTGATTTAATTAAATTATAAAGCAGAAATTTTAGATGGGGTCCATCCAGATTATTTGGTAAAGTTTATATTATGGATTTTCATTTGGAAGCAGGTTCGGATGGGTGAAGGAAATATATACTGAATCAGAAACTACATCACTATGATTTCAGTAGAAGGCTATTCTGAGTAATTAAAATCAAAGATTAAAAACCCCATCCAAATCAAATGTATTAGTTATTTAAATGCTCTCTTTGACAAAATTTTCAAAAGCATGTTCTTCTCTCTTTTTAAATTACTGTTTAAATATGTTCTTTCAGAGTGTTTTCTTTCTTTCTTTCTTAACCATTTAATCTTGTTATTAGACACAGAACCCTTGTTTTTCCTTCCTCCCCCTACTCTTTGCCCACCATCTTTTATTAATGTAAGAGGTAAGCATAAAAGCAGAAATTCTTTTCTGTTGAAAAAATGGATTATTCTTAAAAGACATTATAGCTTATTCACCATTACTTATATCTTCTATATTTTCAAGTTCTCTCAAGTGTGTGAGCAAATTTTTTTTGTAAGATAGAATAAAGTTTAATCCTTAGAAAGCAGCAGAATTCATGAATCTGCTCTCCATAGATGGTTTGGAGGGAGCTTTTATCCTTTCCAAAACTGGATGCAAGTTGTATTTATAATTGTGTATGTTTATTTTCTCTTAAAACAGCACATGCAGCTTTCAACAAATTCTTAAAGCATTTGTGAGTCATGAAAGTATAAGATCCCTTTTTCACTTTTTTGTGATATTTAACATTCCTAACAATGAAACAGTGGATTCGGTATAGCTCACACCAAATGGTACCTTTGGTTCATCCTTTCATTTTTATTTCTGCTCTTCAAAATAGTTAGCATT